TAGTAGTAGTAGTAGTAGTAGTAGTAGTAGTAGTAGTAAAGTAGTAGTAGTAGTAGTAGTAGTAGTAGTAGTAGTAGTAGTAGTAGTAGTAGTAGTAGTAGTAGTAGTAGTAGTAGTAGTAGTAGTAGTAGTAGTAGTAGTAGTAGTAGAAGTAGTAGTAGTAGTAGTAGTAGTAGTAGTAGTAGTAGTAGTAGTAGTAGTAGTAGTAGTAGTAGTAGTAGTAGTAGTAGTAGTAGTAGTAGTAGTAGTAGTAGTAGTAGTAGTAGTAGTAGTAGTAGTAGTAGTAGTAGTAGTAGTAGTAGTAGTAGTAGTAGTAGTAGTAGTAGTAGTAGTAGTAGTAGTAGTAGTAGTAGTAGTAGTAGTAGTAGTAGTAGTAGTAGTAGTGTCCACGGGCCCGGCTAGTGCGGCGCTACGCAGATCAGAGCGAAACATCGCCATTCCTGGGGGGGTGCGAACTGCGAAACTGTCACCACTTTCGGGTTGCTGGAGGCCCCAGAGGAGCGCGAAGCAACGACCGACAGCCCAGTGCCAGGATAGCGTTTCAAGGTGTTCGGTGCAATAACTATTGTTTTTTCCGGAAAGGGGGAGGGGGCTTCTTAATGGCTTCGTGAGGTTTCCTGGCCTGTCCTGCAAGACTCAAGCAAACCTGCGAGCGGCCTTGCTGCGAAAGCGCGCTGTGCCGCACAATTGCCGCGGCCGCCCCCCTCCCAACATTCGCCCGGCGGGGTCCTTCATATCGCCCGACCCCCATCGCGTCCGACCCGACGCCCTATGCGCCCGACGACGACGACGAGTACGAATACGAGTACCAGTACGCGTACGGGTGCGAGTACGAGTGCGAGTACGAGTACCACGACCACGACGACGACGACGACGACCTCCTCCTCCTCCTCCTCCTCCTCCTCCTCCGCCTCCTCCGCCGCCTCCTCCTCTTCTGCCTCCTCCGCCTCCTCCGCCTCCTCCGCCTCCTCCGCTTCCTCCGCCTCCTCCGCCTCCTGCGCCTCCTCCGCCTCCTCCGCCTCCGCCTCCGCCCCCGCCTCTGCCTCCTCCGCCTCCTCCTCCTGCGACCATGGAGCGGGTCAGAGCGCAAGCGCGCCACACCCTCTGAGCACCGCGGGCTGCGCGACGATGAGGTTGAACAGCTTCGCCACCGCCGCACGGCTGCGCCCGGGCGCGGGCTCGGCCCGCCGCCGCAAAACCCGCCGCCGCCTCGCGGAGGGCAGCCGCACCAGCCGCCCGGTCACCGCCGAGGTTCGCGCGCAGCTGCCGCGCCGTCGCCCCGTGCAACGCAACGGACACTTCGGCCCCCCAGCGCTGCGTCAGGGCGCTGGCGACTGCGGAGCTGCCCTCTTCCTCCCCCAGCTCCTGGGCGAGACTCCGCGCCAGCATCCGCAGGTGGCGCAGAGCGGCCCCGCCGTGCCGGCCCCCGTCTCGAGGGCCATGGTGAGGACGGACCACGGCGCGCGCCCGGCTAGGTAGCGGCGCCGCTTGTCGCCCTCGGCCTCTGCGCCGACGGCGCCGCCCCTCTGCGCCGCTGCCGCGAGGTGCTCGGCATCGCCAGGCACGGCGTACTGGACGGTGACGTCCGCGAACTGGCGCGGGCATCCCAGCGCCTGCGCCTCGAGGTCCAGTATGGCCTCCTCGCGTTCGTTCTGCAGGGGCGCCCCGCACCCGCTGCATGGCCCTGCGGGCGGGTCGAGCGTCGCGCCCCGTGCGTTGCAGCGCGCGCAGCGCCATTTCCAGCGGCCCCATGCGGGGGCGGGGATTTGGCGCGCGGCGCGGTAGCCGCACTGCCTGTGGATGCGCTCCCACGCGTCTTCAACAGCCCGGCTGCGCGCCACTACGCCGACGCCGCATGCGCACCGGTAGGCGTGGCGCGCTTTGGAACACAGGGGCTCCCCGCACTGCTGTCCAGCTCGCGGGCCCGTGCGAATGCAGTTCTGGCAGCGGGCGCCAGGGGGCGCACAGTCCTGGCCCAGCAGCGCGCGCCGTGGCCCAGTAATTAGTCTGCGTCGCCGAGTCTCTGGCCCGCGGCCCCCGGCGAGGCCAGCTGCCAGCCGGCCGCGCGCGGGCCGCCGCAGGGGCGCAGGCTCGCTCGTTCCTCGAGGCTGGAAGCGCTTAGCAAGGCTGTAAGGCTCGTTTGGTCTAGCCGTTGTGTGGGCACCTTCTGCAGCTTCTTGCGAGGTTTGGCGGCGAGGTCGCGCCAGGGCGGCAGGGCGTGCCGGGCCTCTCCCTCCGGGGCGGCCGCGGCGGCGGCCAGTCAGTGGAGGCGGCGGCAGCGCGGCCCCAGGCCCGCTGGCGCCGCGGGCGGCGCGGCCCGCGGCGGCTCCGGCGGCGCGGTTGCCGCGCCCGTTGGCGGCGGCGCCCTCAGGGCGACGCTAGCGGCTCGGCACGCAGCGGCCAGCGGGAGGGCGCTCTGGTCCAGGTCGCCCAGCCCCGAGACGCCCGCCCTCGCCCGAACCTCCGCGAGTTTCTGCGTCCAGGAGCCCACCCAAGCCGCCGGGGCGATATCCTCTTGGCTCTGGAGCCCTCTCCCGCCTAGACGTAGCGGCAGTATGCACTGCGCCCAGTTGGAGGACGTCAGCGGGTCTAAGCGGAGCAGGCGCTGGTAAGCCTCCAAGACCGCCTCGTCGTAGGCGGCAGCCGCGGCCCTGGTGCAGTCGGGCGGCGAGGCGCGCAGCAGGTGCGTGATTTTCCCTGTCCCGCAGTGTCACAACAGGAGCGCCCCGGCCTGCGTCGCGTCCAAGTGGGGCGAAGCTTCCGCGGGCAAGTCGGCCAACTTGTCCAGGAGGTTCGCAGCCCGGGCCGCGACATCGTTGCAGCGTTCCGCCGCGTAGCTGGGCGTCCCCGAAGCGAAGCTGCGCCCGTCGTTCTCCGCGGGCAGGTCGAGCGGCCGCGGCGTCTTTCCAGCGGTGCCCCCACCAACGTTTGGCCTGCAGGGCGCCAGTGAGGCTCTAGCCCTTCCGGGCACGGCGAGCGGGCGGAACACGCCTGCGTTTTCCTCGGTTCCAGCTCCAGGCCGATCCGCCCAAACGCCACTTGCGCCACGGGGAGCACCTGCGCTGCGAGCGCGGCGGGAGCCAGGACGATGGTGTCGTCGAGGTAAGCCAAGACGCGCACGTCGTCGGCTGGCAGCCCCGCGGCCGCTGCCGCCGCGCGCAGGTCGTCCTCCAGCTGTTGCAACGCTGGCTTCGCTGCGCAAGCGTAGAGAAAGGGCGCCAGCGAGTCCCCTTGGTCCACCCCGCTGGTGGCGCTCAGCTCGAAGCAGTCCCCGCGGCCATCCCAGCAGAGGTACCTGGAAGTCCTCCTCCACCTCCTCCTCCTTTTCCTCCCCCCCTCCTCCTCCTCCTCCTCCTCCTCCTCCTCCTCCTCCTCCTCCTCCTCCTCCTTCTCCTCCTTCTCCTTACAGATAGCCACTCCCTGTCACACCCCGAGGCCAGTTGTTAGGGCGGGCTGGGCTTTTCGCCTGAGACTTCCTAACCACTTCTGACTCTGAAGCCTAAAAGTGACAAGTTCACAAAGGATGGCGGGTCGTTTTCAAAACGTGGTTTTCGCCATAGCGCCGCGCACATTCGTTTTAAAACGTTGCAAGTGTTGCACGGATTGGGGGCGGGTGGTTTTCAAAAAGTGACTCTCGCCTCAGCGCCGCGCACATTCGTTTTAAACATTTGCAAGAGCTTCACGGATTGAGGTCGGGTCGTTTTCAAAATGTGGTTTTCGCCTTAGCGCCGCGCACATTCGTTTTCAAACTTTGCATGGGCTGCACGGATTGAGGGCGGCTCCTTTTTTTCACAATGTGGTTCCCACCTTAGCGCTGCACACAATTGTTTTAAAACTGCGCACGGAGATTCCAACAAAAATGAACGCAGAAGAAAAGTGTGTTGGACGGATTCTGGCCTTTGCGGGCGCAGCAGTTATGTTGGTTGATTCGCTGTGCGAAATCCAAAAAATGGCGTTTCGGTGCGACTCTGGACCGTCGAGACGTAGCGGTCAGGTTGATACGCGGCGTTGAAGTCCCGAGTACCATGTTTTGGCACGGATCAGGGTCTTGAAACTGTTGTCTTCCAGCGGGGCGGTTCCCTCAATGGAAACAAACCGTTGTACGGGCCTCGGAAGAGGGAGCTTGGAGGGAAGGTTAATTTCAACATCGTTGGTGACTCTTGGGTTTCCACTGGTCCTTCTCCTCCTCCTCCTCCTCCTCCTCCTCCGCCTCCTCCTCATCCGCCGCCTCCTCCTCCTCCTCCTCCGCCTCCTCCGCCTCCTCCACATCCTCCACCTCCTCCGCCTCCTCCACATCATCCGCCTCCTCCGCCTCCTCCTCCTCCTCCGCCTCTCCTCCTCATCCCCATCCCCATCCCCATCCTCCTCCTCCTCCTCCGCCTCCTCCTGCTCCTCCTATTCCTCCCCCGCCTCCTCCGCCTCCTCTTCCTCATGCTCCTCCTCCTGTTCTTCCTCCGCCTCCTCCTCCTCCTCTCATCCACCTCCTCCGCCTCCTCCCTTCCTCCCCCATCCCCATCCTCCTCCTCCTGCTCCGCCTCCCCTTCCTCCTCCGCCTCCTCCCCCTCCTCATCCTCCTCCTAGGCGTTGTGGTCCGAGGCGCCCCCTTTCGGGACAGCCCGACATTGACCGCGACCCCAGCCCTCTGGGCGACTCTCCCCACCACGGGCGCGCGATCACCCTCGCCCGCGTGGCACAGGGCCCAGCGGCGCCTGCGCGCCGAGGCCAGACGCAGACTGCGCCACCGCAGGGACCTTGAGCTGATCGAGAGCCATCACGGTTCGGCGGTTCCCATGGGCAGTGATGACCGAACGTGGTTTTGCAGATTCTGCGTGCACGCAGCCAGTGGGGAACGTTTCTTCAACAAATCGGCGAGGCAGAGTTGCTGGCAATGCAAGCGGCCCAAGTCGGCGTGCTTCCACAGTTACAAGCCTCCGCCATCACCATCCGTACGAAAGACCTCTGCACCACGAGCTGCCGACAAAGAGGACACACCTTGGGCCATGGCTGCAAAGCTGCGAGAGGCGCAGAAGCAGATCAAGAGGCTCGAGCAGGACATGCAGAAGCAGCGCAAGCAGCAGGAGTTGCAGCCCGAGAAGGTGCAGCAGGTGGTCGATCTCTCAGATGAACAGGGTGACTGTCCTGATATGCTGGTTGATGATGGTAAGAACTTTGATGAAGGACAGGCCCGAGCCAGAATTCACGAGCTGGAGAAGCAGCTGGACATGGCCAAGGGAGTTGGAGAACACTGGGATGTGCTGCGGACGGCCATTCGCACTGAGAAGGATGAGCTCCAGCAGCGTGTGCATGCTCACAAGCCCGCCTCGGCCCAGATGTTTCACATCAACCGCCAGCTGTTCCAGGAGCCACAGCGAATCTCCAAGGCGAAGCTGGCGATACACAAGCAGGAACAGCACATTCAGGAGCTTCAGAAGCAGTTGCAGAGTGCACAAAAGGATCTGGCGGAAAGGGAGGCGAAGCATGAAGAGCTCCGACTACGGCAACTGGAGTTGGCCCAGGCCGCAGTGCAGCCACCAGACGGAGCGGCTCGAGCGCACCCGCAGGATGCGCCCATCACCGCGCTGGGATTGGACTGCACGGCCCTCGGGCGAATCCTCAAGCAGTTGGGGGCAGGCGAAGCAGCCGAACCCATGGCCGAGGAGATCGCCAAGCAGCTACCGACTTTGGTCACAGGAGCGACCATGGCGGTGTTGGGCTCTACGACTGGAGGGCAAGCTCTGCTCCCAGGAGCGCTACATGGTGGACCTGGTGCAGGTGGCGTGCATGTTCCTGTACCTGAGGAACCAGCTCCTGCCACGACGTCTATCCGTGAAGCAGATGTTGCGGTGCTACGTGAACATCTCAACGCAGTGGGCGTTCCGATCAGTGACGCGGCGACTGATGATGAAGTGCGGCAGGCGGCCAACAAGTTGTTCACATGGAGTTCGGCGCCGATGCGTCAAGTATTTACACCGTTTTGAGTCAATGGCTGTCGTTGGGATGGTTTGTCTATACCTGCAGATGGCGATGGCTTCAACGACTCCAGGGAGCAGGTGTACAGAAGGTGCTCCCGACAGGTTGCAGGTTCCAGGACTGGCGAGTGTGGCGCTTGACGCTAACCCAGTCTTGAAGCCTGTGAGTGGCAATGTGCAAGGTGCTGACGTTATGGCGGGCTCGCCGCATGTACTACGAGGTGCTGGTTCGATGAGTGGCGCCGACGCTTCGGCGTGCTCGCCACAAGGACAGCATCGAGATGAACGTTTTCACTCGCATGAGCTGGTGTCTCGACATGGAGATGCGTTGCAGCATGCTAAGATTCCCTCAACCCCACCTTCTTCTGGATTCACCTCAAAGAAATACGGCGGTCAAGAACGCGACGATGGTGGAGATCTGACTGTAAAAGGTGCGGTCACCACTATCAACGTTGACAACACGGGACCCCTGCTCAGGTACATGGAGCAGTGCAAGTCAGCGGTGGTTCTCGTGCAGGAGCATAAGGCGGACGATGCTGCACTCCCTGGGCTCGAGAGAAGATTGCGACAGTATGGATATCATGGCATCTTCGCGCCCGCTGTTCGAACGGAGTTGGATGGCATATCATCGGGAGTGGCAGTGCTCGCGCCTACGTACGTGACGGTCACGCGCCCCCCAGGACTGGATGAGCCGATTCTTTATGATGGTAAGATGGTTGCAGCGAAAGTATCTTGGGGAATTGCAGATGGAATGGTTGCAGTATCAGTTTATTTCAAAGACTCGGTGGGACTAGATGAGCAAAATCAAGACATGCTGTATAGGCTTGTTTGTTATCTGGGGCGCCTCAACGACATGGCACAGGGTTGGGTGGTTGGAGGAGATTGGAATATGGTCTCCACGACTTTTGATGGGCAGGCATGGCTGGAGCAGTTGAAGGCCATGTTTTTGGTACCCACACATATCACCTGCTGCACGACGAACGCTTCGGAGGGTAGCACGTATGATTACTTCATCATTTCAGAAAAGCTGGCTACAAAATTTTCGCCTCCAGAAGTTGATGTTGCGGGTGGATTGCCAACGCATTTTCCAGTATCGCTTCCAATTATGAATGGGCACAGAACAGTATGGTTGCGTATACCTCAGGAACCCCGACAGCTGCCCAAGGGCCCACATGTAGGATGCTCGCGACCACCTTTGAAGTGGGATGATACAATGAGGTTGGTGCAATCAGTTAGTGTTGAACCCGAGCTTCGACATGCATGGGACCTGGTAGTTTCTGGAATTGAGGCAGAGATATTGGCCCGTCGTGGCTTAGTTGGTGACGTGGGCAAACCATATGCTGGACGAGCTGGACCTATTGTTGCCAGATTCGTGGAAGCCAAATGGGACGTCCAGCACACTAGGCAGCAATATGGACCACAAGCCCGTGCATGGATCACCGCTTCGAGATGGGCCAAACATATATTGCGCGTCAGAGCATTCTGGATCAAGATGATAGCGGCTTACAGAAAGGAACATGAGCTGGTGCGCTCTGGTCTCAGACTGCCGGATTACACCTCACCATGGACTTCTGTGCATATGAGTACAACAGTGGAGGAAGGTTGGAGTTTGGTTTGCAGACGACGGCGTACTAAATGTAAAGAAAAAGCTGAAGGTGAGCAGGATGGCACGATTGCACGGCTTGTCTGTCTATCAAGCAGTTTCACGGCTTCGTACATCGAGTGCAACAACAGCAAGAGCTCCTGCAACTTTTGGAGCCTGAAGCACGTGAATTTTTCATGGCTGGTGTGGCTGTTCTCTCGGATTCACAGTTTGAGAAGAGGGCCTTCAGTATAATCGAACGAGCTGATGATTTTATACAGCAGGTCCAGCGCAAGAGTGAACAAGATTGGAAGTGTTGGATTGGTAAGGCCTTTTTAAATGGCGCTGGACAGGCGCACAAGGCCTCCAAGACCAAGGCGCTGGCTGCATCCATCGAGTGTACTACACGTACGCAACCATATCAACTTGCAGATGATGAGATGTGGAAGTGGCGTGAAGTCTGGACATGTCATGATACCAGGCGTGTGGAACTACCGCAGGGCTCCAGTGGCTGGGATGAGTTGCCCTTTATTCAGGTCCAGGACATCAGGGAGGCCGCCTACTCCTTTCCCTGGAAGACCTCGGTTGGCTACACGAGAATTCATCCCAGGAACTTCGGGTACGTCTCGGACCAGGGATTGGCTGTCTTGGGAGCTCTGTACATGGTATGTGAACGCATGATGATATGGCCATCACATCGCATAATGAATGAAATGGTTAAGATTGCGAAGCCAGATGGAGGGGATCGACTTATCACACTAATAGAAAGCATGGTAAGGCTATGGGCACGCGTGCGTAGACCTGTATCACAACAGTGGTTGCGTGCACATCCTAGTCCACACATATGGGGCAATCGTAGAGGCTTCTCGTCTACATACGCTGCATATGAGCACAATCTACAAGCCGAAGTAGCGCATCATCTAGGGGAACATGCGATCACTATCGTAGTGGACATGTGGAAATGCTTCGAGACAGTGCTGTTTCCTGCTCTCCTCAATGAGGCACAGTGCATGTCTTTTCCGCTTCGTCTACTGTGGCTGCTGTTGGAGACGTATGCGCAGCCCCGAGTGATCCGTGCATATGGATGCTGGAGCATCCCGACTCGTGCGCTGCAGGGCATATTGGCGGGATGCACACATGCCACCACGCTCTTAACGGTTCTTACATATCGTGCGGTCGTGAAGGTGCACACACACTTCAGGGACGTCATGCCTCGCGCGCTTGTTGATGACAGCACGTTCCAGTGGACAGGTAATGACATTTCGGGTGCAGCCAACTTGCAGCGCGCGGTGTATATGTTCAGCCAGGATGCTGCTAAGCTAGGCATGATCATTAAGTTCGAGAAGTCAGGTGTTGTAACGAATACGAAGAGAGCGTTGAAAGGGTTCCTAGGCAGGGCCCAGCAGCTACGCCTGTCGGCCAAGAAATGGATTCGAAACCTCGGTCATGAGATACCAGGGATCCGTCCAGTTCGGAAACAGGCACAGGCTAGAATGAAGTCTCTTCGTGCTCGTCTTCCTCGCCTGCAGATGCTGCGCCGAGGAGCGGGTGTACAGGTCGCCGCTCTATGGCGCACAGGACTGCTACCTGCTGTTGGCCACGGCGCTGCTGTGGCAGGTATCACACCTTCGGAGCTTGCCAGTATGCGAAAGATTGCTGGCACGCTATGCGGACGCACCTCTGGTCATAACTCGCTCACGTTGGTATTAGCCACGCAGAAGGATAGGCTATATGATCCCATATATCACGCCACGCTGGAGCCCCTCAAGGCCTACTGCAGTTTCGTGTGGGATCAAAGGGTGTCATTGGGACGTCTACAAAGGGGCTGGATGGCCCTCCAAGGTAAGATCAAGCAGAAGATGTCTTGGGATGGGGTTCGTGGGCCCATGGAGGTTCTGGTACTTACTCTGTCACGTATAGGATGGAGCATGAGCTCTAGCACCACGATTGTTGATGACCAGGGCTACGTGCTGGACCTTCTGCGCCTGCCGCCCAAGACTATTTTGGAGTTTGCCCGCCAAGGTGTGGAGCGCTGGCAGGGCAGGCAGATCTTGGCCCACCATCAAGATATATGCTATGGACATGAAGTCATATGGATGCGCGTGCTGAGGAAGTGTGTTGGTGGGGCCAAGGCTGCAGTTCGCAGTTCAAGATTTTCGGGTGCGCTTCGCACCCTATGGTCAGGAGGCTTCTGGACGAGGGACAGGCAGCACCAAGCAGGGTACAACATTCCTGCTAAATGTCCATGGTGTCCCTCGGAACGCTCCACACTCGGTCATTGTATTTATGATTGCCAAGGATTGTATGATGATTGTTATGACGAAGACTTGGTGTGGGATCCGAAGAATAATGTGTGCTATGAATATCTCAGGGCACGAGGAGTTCCAGGTCTGGGGCCTCCTGACTGGGATAGGTTCGACTGCTGCATGTGCATGCCCATGTACCCTGCGGTGCCCCCGAAGGTCTCATATGGGCTCGAGGTTCACCTCTGGGGCGACTGGGATTCGGACCGAAGTGGCTGGACCTCCCTGGTGTTCACCGATGGGTCGGGGCTTGCTCCTGGACTTCCTGAAATTACCAGATGTGGTTGGGGATTCGTTTGTTTGGGAGACAATGGGCTACCAGTCAGAGGGGCGTACGGTCCCCTCGAAGGGCCATGGCAGACGGTAGGAAGGGCTGAGAGAGCGGCCCTGTACTATGCTTTGAAGTACCTGCCCGACGTCAGACTGGTGGTGTCGGACTTGTCCAGCCTGGTCAAAGAAGGAGCCAGCTGGGACCATGCCCTCCAGGAGGCTGACGCCTCGTATGCTGATTTATGGAGGCAGATTTTCGCGTTGATGGACGGCAAGGACGTTTGTCCTCCAAATTTTTATTGGTGCCCTGCTCACAAGACGGCTCAGCAGTTTACCGAGCAGGATTGCCATCCATGGGGGTACTTTCTTGGCAATGCTTGGGCCGACAGGTTCGCTAAATGGGGCGCATGTTGTCATGACCCGTCTGAGACCCTGGAGATGTCGTTGGAATCGAATATATGTGATGCTAAACTGCAGGCCAGGATGTTGTCATGGGTGGTGTGCAAGATGGCGTATCGTGACTCATTGACTGAACGGCCCAGTAGGTTAGCCAGACCCCCTGCCCCAGTCAGGCCCGTTAGACTCACGGCCCACGAGATGGCCGTTCTCTCGCCAGGAGTCTTCCAATGTAGGTCTTGTCTTGGGCTTGCTGGGACCCAGGCGAGCCTCAGCAGGTTTCTAGGGACCCAGTGTGGGCCCACGGCCCAACAGAGGCTCAGAGCCAGTATGCTAACTGAGCTACAGAGCGCGCCTCCGATG